TGTAGAGCAGAAATGAACATGGTCACAATACCAAGCTTACCAAAAAAGGACAAACAACCATGCAGAACTTTTGTAACAACATCTGTCATAAGAAACAATGGAGGTGGTAGAGACAGGTTTATCTGGACAGGACCCCCCCAAAGTCTGGAACCGGACTCGAACCTGTGACCTTCAGTATGAAACTGGAGGGTTCTACCACTTATACTACCGTGGGAAGTGGAAATAATGCGTGTAATGTCTGGACTGGGGGAGATTATCAGAGCGACCAAAGCCAACAACAACCAGCAACCGACGTGAAGACTAGACCAGCATACAACACGGTCCCATGAACTTGACCCCTTGGGTGGTGCGCAGGCAGTGTCTGTAATAGTACTACCATGCGTCAGCCCAGGGGAGTGTGTGTCCAGCCGTGCGTCATTCTAACGCCCTGCCGGTGTCCATGCGCGAGGCTGCGGAGTTTTGAACCCACAACCTTATACCACAATGCGCATAATTTTCCAACCGGTGCTCTAACCACTGAGCTAGATCCTTAGATTGTCGCATTGGCAACTTGGGCGCCAATGAAGCAGAAACAACACCTAACCTACTCTTCCTCCTCCTCCTCCTCCTCCTCCTCTCCCCCCAACGGCCCCCTCTCCTTATCTGCCTCGCCTTCCTCCTTTCCCCTCATAATCATCATCATCAGCAGCAGCAGCGGCAGCAGCAACAGCAGCAGCAGCAGTAGTAGCATCATCATCATCATCATCAGCAGCAGCAGCAGCAGCAGTAGTAGACCGGGGGTTGTGCAAACTGGTGCAAAAGGTGACCCGACGATATTCCTTTGTCCTGAAAGTGCTGCCTGTCATATTCCGATGAGAACGTTGCCCAAGATTCCAGTCACCGACTGCAGCAGACGTCAGACTGGTCTTGCCACAGTCATCGTGGCAAATTCTTCCTCTGATGGCCTGGCGCTGAGCGGCTCCAGTGGCCCATTGCAGCAGACATCAGACCGCTCTCGCCACAGCCATCGCCGCCAATTCTTTCTCTGACGGCCTGGCGCTGACCGGCAAAAGGTGACCGGACGATATTTTCCTTTGTCCTTAAACTGCTGCCTGTTATGTTCGATTAGAACATCGCCCGAGATTCCAGTCGCCCACTGCAGCAGACATCGGACCGCTCTCGCCACAGCCATTGCCACCGATTCTTCCCCTGATGGCCTGGCACTGAGCGCCGCCCTGTAAATGTCCCTTCTATTCCCGTCACCCGAGATTCCAGCCTCCCACTGCCACCAGACATCAGCCCGCTCTGGCCACAGCCATCGCCGACAATATTCCTTTGTCCTGAAACTGCTGCCTGTCATATTCGATTAGAATGTTGTGCAACGATAACAAAAACGACACCGCTCACGAGGTGGTAAGTTCGATAGGGCAATCTCTTCCCCCACCTTCCTCCCCTTCCCCTCCTCTTGGATTTCTTCTGGTGCTCTTCGGCTGTAGTTTGGGGGGATGGGCTAGTGGCGAGGACGATTGGGTTGATTTGCAAACGGGAAGGCTGGGTGTGGGCGGGAGGAGGTGGGGTGGTGGCGTGGGTTGATTTGCAAACGTGAAAGCTGGATAGCTGGATCACCACATCCTCTTTTGGCCACGTGGCAACAAGACAACTGTGGTTCGCTCAGGTCTTTGCTCATTGGCAATTTTCACTTGCGGTTTTTTGCAACTTAGGATTAGGCCACGTGTCAGAGCAGGCAGTGCACTGAGGGTTGGCATCGGGATCGTTTGTGTGATTGATTGGCAGGGCAGGCGGAGAAGCGATGATTGGCACCAGGGCCGCCTGTGTGATTGATTGGTGCCCTGCCACGTTTTTGACTGATTAATTAGGTTAGCACGTGGCTATTAATCTGGCTAATCTGTGTAAGCTGTGCCCCCCCACTTGAGTGGATTCGTGGATTATGAGGATAGTGGGGGTGATGCGGTGCAAGTAACCTTACATAATAGAGTGCAATGGTGGAACCGGGCTTCCGTCCAAGGTTTTGCTATAATTGATTTTCTAAAAAAAAAAAAAAAAAAAAAGAATGTTGTTTGAGATTCCAGTTGCCCACTGCAGCAGATATCAGACTGTTCTCGCCCGGCCATCGCTGCCAATTCTTCGTCTGATGATGGCCTGGCGCTGAGCGCCGCCCCGTAAATGTCCCTTCTACCCTTCTATTCCCGCCGGAAGTTCCAAACCTAGTTATCCAGCGGGGACTGAAAAGCAGTGCGATTCTCACTGCCGACAGGAGGGTGAATTTCCCGGCAGCAGGGTGAATTTCCCCACCACATATGCTTCGGCCAGTCTCTGAGAGTCTGAGACCACCGCCGCAGTCGGCAAAAAATCGACAGACAGCGCCGCAGTCAAAAGTTCACCCCCTGTCTCAAGCCATCCTTAAGAAACAAGGCACACCCCCATCAGCCGCCGGTTATTCCAAGGGCCTTGCCACACGGCACATGAAACGAAAAGGAAAAATGTCTGCATATTACTCCAGAAACTGGAAAGGTTCATCCGTTACCATGAATAACAACAAATGCCATTGGATACAAGTACCTCTTGTCACCTTCTGTCAGCATATACACTTGTTTATTTTTATTTTATTTTTTCTGTTTTTTCAACTTTTTGGTGTGCCATGCGGCGAGGCCCCAAATTCTGCCTGGTAAGTTACCTGGGTTATGTTCTTGCAGTTCATCTCAGTAACTTCGTCCAGCAGTTATGATAACTGAGTTTGCAGCTCTGCCTCCCTCTCTTCTCCTCTCTCCCCCGATGGGCTATAAGAGGATCCTGCGGTGATGCGCATTAAGAAACAGCGATTTCGTCAAAACGGACAATGTCATATTTTATTTCTTGAACGAAATTGAAAATTCATAAATTGCCACGATCATTTAGGTCGATAGTTTCAGCTCCTGAGGGTACAGCATTCTGAAAACACCCTACCCCCCGGATGCAAGCTAAGCTAAGTCCAGATACATCCAGGGGGTATGGCATTTTCAGAACGCCGTACCCCCTGGACTCCACCTAAGTCCAGATACATTCAAGGGCTCCGGCTTTTCAAGGACGCCAGACCCTCAAGAGCTTGAAATTTCCACCTAAATTGGGCCAATTTATGAGGCTTCAATTTCGTTCAAAAATTAAAATTTGCCCCTTTTGACAAAATTGCTGTTAAGAGGAACAAACCGGCGGCAGAACAAACCGGCGACGAAACAACTCTTGCTCCTTCTGACCTATGTGGCGCACACGAACTCACCAATATGTAATCTCTGGTCATTCTCATCCCCCTCCTCCTCCTCCTCATCATCATCATCCTCATCATCCTCATCATCATCATCATCAGCAGTTGGTGAGCAGATGTCCTCTACCGGTAGTTAGCAGGGTGGTGGGCCCCATTTCTGCCTCCCTCGCATTTACCGCAGGCATAAGCACTGACTTTTCTTTTTGTTTGTTTTTTCTTGAAAGAATTGTCAATGAACAATTTATAAAAAAAATTTGGAAAGAATGAGGCCGGGATCCCCTCACAAACAACCGGGAATATACTGCTGGGGCCATGATTACCCATCTTCGGCTTGTGCTGGAAACCAGGTCCACCGTCCCTCGACCCTGGTCTTTCCTTACAAAAGAAAAGAGACCCTTCCAAAAATGTCACCTTGAAGCACAGCTCACAGTAAGGAGTTCTGCCTAATCAGGAAAAGCCTACCCACAATTAGCTACACTCATTTCCTATAAGAAAACACTACTAAATTAAATGACTTTCAGATCAGACAAGAACAAGAACAAGAATGAAATAATGCGGAATCTGAAATTCATAAAACCCTAAACCCTAAACACACAAACTTTAAGGTAACCACTTGCAACACTTGTTGGTCTAACAGCACAGCAACCAGCAGCGATGGAAATCCTATTATAATAGGGATAAGCACCAGGGCCACTGTTTTCGGCAGGGCCTTGGAGGCATGTAATCGCCCCTCTTTCCAGTGGGTCAAGGGGTAGGTGGGTGGGTTTGGGGGGGGGGGAAGTGCGCGGGGTGGCATAACCTGTGGGGCCCTCTGTTTTCAATCGACTGAGATCATCATCCGGCGTGGATGATACTTAGAGGCGAATCCACATTCTCGCTCCGGCCAGTGGTCCTGCTGCCACGTGGCTCATCCTACCGCTGGGGATGCTCTGCTGCCAACACTGTTGACATTTTCGTTTTTTCTTTTTGGGTGGAAAAAAGTCAGGACAGGAAATGAGTTGAGGATGGGGGCTTCTTACAATTCTACCCGGTGATACTGAGGCCATCAATCTTACAATTCTCCCCTGTGATACTGAGGCCATTATTCAGCTTCTGCTCAAGCTGGAAACCGGCTCCTCCAGCGTCCCATCTCATATCTAGAAAATTACCGGTAGGAACTTGCCAACACCCAAATTGAGGAGAGTTAAAAAAAAAAAAAAAAAACTCGTGGCCCCTGAATCTCTAATCTCTGAGCTACACTGTCTTTTGGATTTGGCAACTGGGCCAAAACAAAAAAAAAAAAGGGGGGAGGAAAAAAACAAAAAGGGAGCGAAAAATCTGACTTCCCAACCATTTTCAAACAGAACCAGAACTCTACCAAAAAAAAAAAAAAAAAAAAAAAAAAAAAAAAAAAAACTCATCTACGCAACAAGCTCACATCATCCAGATATCCAACCAGCCCAAAATCCGTTGGCGTTTCTAATTTCGTTTGCGTCAGCATTTGCCTTACCAAGCCTAGGCCGAGCCGAACCTCGTCAATCAGATTTGGTGTTGGCGTTGGTGGTGGTCCCATGGTCCCAGATCCCGACGATTCCCACCGTCCACCAGGCTGTCGTGAACTGCATGCCTCGTCATCACGCGTCTGCGGCTCGCGATGAGTCCCGTGGTCGTCTTCTGCTGTGACCTCAGGTGTTGTTGTTGTTGGTGCTGAGTCCTGCTGCCCAACATCTTCTTCTTCTACTGGCCCAAATTGAATCCGGTCGCCGCTCACCCCGGACAGACTAATTATAGAACCCTGATGACTAGGAAGAAGAGGATTGTCCGGCTTGTCCACTGCAGCATTTCTTGCATCTTTGCCGCCGCCGCCGGCGACGGCTTTGACATCGTCGACAAGAACTGCCCGTTCAAATCGCTGAACTTCGTCTCCTTCCCCGCCTGCCGAACCCGGTGAATTCGGCGATCCCGACTTGGTCCAGTCGGGATTGCTCGTCCCGCTCTGACAGTGGGACTGCCCACGCGGCACGCCCCCCGATGTAACTGCATTGCCGTCTTCGCCTTCACAACCCTTCTGTTCCCGATCCCTATCCGGACCCTTCTGCTTCCGATCGGTATCCGGATGAATCTCAACGCCGACGGTGTGTCCTGAACGATTGCTGTCCTTCTTCTGAATCTTCTGTTCCCGATGGGTATCCGGATGAATCTCAACGCCGATGGGGATCCGGACCCTTCTGTTGATATCCTCACCCTCGGCATTATCGTTGTCGTTGTTGTTGGTGTTGCTGGTGTTGGTGCTGTTGGTGTCTCCGTCATCAGTATCGTTATCGTTATTGTTCTTGTTGACGTCACCGTCATCGGTATCGCTCTTGCTGTTCTTGTTCTTGTTCTTGTTCTTGTCGGCATCGTCATTGTTGTTCTTGTTGTTGCCGTTGATTGATCTGTGAAGGCTGTTAATTGGACATTGGTCACTTTGAGAGGAATGGCCGTAATCTCGACATGCGTAGCACCATTCGGTGAACTGAGAGATGACAGGCACTTCAAAAAATCTTTCTCCCGCCGCATCAGTTTGTTCAAATTCAATCTCCAACCGGTTCGGGATGCGATCCCGACTGCTGATCGGGACATCGAACCGCAGATTGATGAGGCGGCCGCGCTGATCCCGGTTCTTTTCGGGCGGGTAGGTCCGCAGAATCTCGCCCCCGACAGCACACTCCAGTCGGCTCTTTACGGAGGAAGCAGCAGGGATCGGCACACGTATCGCCATCACCCACATCCTCCCGCTGTTCTCCAGATCCCTCACATATTCCTCTTCTTCTTTCGCTTTCCATCGCTTGAAAATCAGCGTGTATTCTTCTGTACCCACCCTTACACTTCTCTTACCGATCAACAACATGAATTGAACAACAGTCCAATCCCTGTGCGTGTAGGTCATCACACTGCTCCCCTCCTGATGCATCCACCCCCTGCCCTTCTCTGCCGCACTCTCGTCCTCAAATGCACGAATGCACTCTTCTTTCTCCGCACTGAAACTGCACCAGCCGCACGAGATGCCACGTGGCACAACACCGCTACACCGTTATTATACAGCCATTCAGCGTGCAACTCATCGTAAAAGCAAAAGCTATCTAATACCATCCTGTCCGTTTCCGGTCGAATGAATACACCATAGCTCGGTTTTTGTACCACTACCCTTCGACCATTCCCTGACCCTGACTCCGACCCTGATTCCGAACCTGATTCCGACCCTGTATCCTCCTCCTCGTCGTCGTCAGCGTCGACCCAGCTATCCTGCCTCTCTCTCTCCATCTCATCATCGCACTTCGCATCGTTAGCCACGATGGATTCCATTTTTTTTATTTTTTTTGTGATCAGTCGATGATCAGCAGATGTACAGCGCGACTTAGTAGTAATAGCCAGCTCAGAACCGCTCCGCTCCCCCCCGCCGCCGTCGCTCGCTCCTCCACCTCCACCTCCCTGTATCTGACCCCGTTTCTGACCCTAGCGCTCAAAATCCACCGACAGGGTTGCCACGTGTTGAGAGCCTGTGAGTGTGTGCGAGTCCTTAGCGTCTCGTCATCCGTCGATTTGCAGTACTCGCCGCTCAAAATCCACCGACATCCTTCCTGGCTTTCTCCCTTCGCTCGAGCAGCCCAACTTTCGCACCACCTCCACACGTCGATTTCCAGGTACTCGCCGGTCGAAAAAAACCACCGGCATCGTCCATGGCATTTCCCCCTTCCGTCTAGCAGCTCAACACTGGTACCTCCACACTTCTGACATTCTCGAGAGAAAATTCAGTCTTCTTCCATTCAATTTGCGATGCGTAATACCTACCATACCGGGGGCTAGGTCCCACTTGCACGGATTAAGAGAGGTTGATCGTGGATACCACACTGTCAGATCAACGGTCAGAATCTCGTAATCCGTGCAAGTGGGACCTTGCCCCGGAAGAGAAACTGGAGCCTCTGATTGAGAGAGAGATAAAAAAAGAGAGAGAGAGAGAAAAAGAGAAAAACTGGAAGCTCGTTCAACTACATAGCGGGCAAATCTGGATTGCTCGGTTGTGATTCAGCCACAGGAGGCAGGCAGGCAGGGGGACTTTGGTAAGTGGAGGGAGCGTCTGAAATAGGCAGGGATCTCTTCTAGTTCCCAACTTCTTTTTTTTTTTTTTTTCTTTTTTTTTTTGGA